TGGTAAGTACTTGACGCACATTGCAACGTTCATATTATAAATGTGTTCTACACAGTTGTACCCAAATGTTTATAGCACGCAAAACTATATTCAAACTTACCACGAGTTTCGTTGGCATTCTTCTCCGCACCCATCTTACCAGGTGTGCTTCTTTGTTGCCTAACAAATGACGAAGAAGACGTTGAAGATATATCGTTTGCGACAACTTCAGTTTTTCGCTCAACGCTTCGCCAACTTTTCACCGGTGATTTTTTTCGCCTACATTGACAAAAAGAAAATAATGCATTTAAGAATAAGCCACAAATAATTGTAATGTATGTATGTGATACTTACGATTCGAAATTCGCTGCTGCTGCTGTATCTGTAAATTTATTGGGATCCAATAATTGATTCCGAAAACAGACTACAGTGCGGCGGAATGGACCTTGCCCCACTGAAAAAGTGAAGAGATCGTACTGTTGACGGAATTGTTCACATGTTTGATGTATGAGAAAACGGCGAAAATTGTTTACAGGTGGAAAAAGTAGAACACTGTAAAAAATAAATAAAGAATTTATAATTTTTTTTATCAAATACTTATGAATAGGTAGATATACAGACAAACATACATTCATACATAGCCTATGCCATAAATAATAACATAAAATATGCCTCAATTACACTCGTACATGGCAAGGCTTATTGAACAAATGTGAAATTTTGGATTGTGTATTAAAAGCTGAAAGATTTTGCTTTTTTTTTTTGCTTAAAATATTCACTTTTCCAGGATTTTTCTATACAACTCTTAGCAACGCTTCAGAAAAGTGTAGAAAACAATATCCAATTATTATTATTATTTTTTTCTTTTTTCGCAATTGCAAACCACAAATTCGAAGGTATTGGTTTGTTTTGTTGTGGCATTTTAGTCTTTCGAGGAAAATTGCAAAAACTGGTTAGCAACTCGATAGCTAATGGCAATTCAGTCGGTGGTTTTCAGTCTTTGCATGGCTTTTATTTTTCTTGTACCTTTTTTCTTTGCATAAATAAACAGAGCAAAGCGTCAGTCAATGCGCGTATCACTTATTCACAACAATGAAGAAGTATACACAGTGAACAAACCAGCAAATGAGCAAAGAGAAAAGGAACAAAGTAACATCAGAAGAGATATATAGACGGCTTATGAGAATATTATGTAATATACATGTAGATATGTATGTAATGTTGTTAGCGGTTTTAGCCGTCGATGGCGTGGAGCATTAAAAGCAAAAAGAAAATGTGCCGCATGAGATGGGAATATGAAGTGGTATTGTAGTTTGTAACGCAAGTTGCTAACTAACAAAATCATGTTATGGGAATGTTTGTAGTCATATACATATGTATACCTATAGGTATGTATGTACATAAGTGTAGTAAATATGTAGATAGACTTAAGACAAGTTTCTTCTGTAGTTGATTTTAAGACAAAATAATTGTACTTGCAGATATCCCTTGTTCTTCTTTTTGTCACTTTCTGATACACCCTAAAAATTTATGAAATTTTCCCATAAACCCGATTGTCTTGCTGAATCTTGAAAAACTTTGAAGACATTCACAGAGAGACTATTGTGGTGCCAAGTTCTCGCCTTGGGAATGCCTTAGCCGAGCTTCAATCACCATCCGTTAAAACAATGAGCAGCAGCAGCCTGGTTGGGCTAACGCAATACCAAAAATCAAAGCTATACCCCCAATAAACATTTATGTTAAAGAACGAATAGAAAGTGATTCGAATTCTAATGTATCTCTAATGTGGAAAGTTAAAAAATGATTCGAGAAACTGTCGAGAATCATAGCATTCTCTAAAAATGGGAACTTAGTTCTCGATATCGAGAAAAAAATTAGATATCTAATCGAATTCTATCTAGTGTTTTTATATTAAATCTTTGTAATATAGTTATGTAACCTGAGTTTTTATTCGAGAATCATTAGAGAACTACATTAAAATTATATTGGAAAATCCAATGTTTCTGTGACGTTAGAGACTGTGTTTGCTGGAGTGACAGTCTTTGACCAGATATAGGTATATAAATGTATGTCGTTCTGGTAACGTACAACGGTTGTTGCTTTTGTAGGAGTCAACTTTCATAGGGGTCATGCCAATTGTTGTCATCAACACCATCCGGCTCGGGGAGCCTAAGGACCGAACAGCGGTGACCACAGAGCTTCGGTTGTCACGAGTCGTTGAGTTGGCAGGGCATGCAAAAAGTGGTTGGTGTAGTGTGGCTCTAACCCGCATGCTGGGCACGTGCTTGCGGACCTAGGCGTCAGAGGTAGCTGTTGAGGCGGCTGCAATAGCCGGATCTTAATTGAACCAGGGTGCACGCGTCTCAGGCGATAATGCCGTTTTCTCACTGTGCAAAAAAATGCAATCGGGGGACCCTAAAGAATAGTTAGTATTCAAAAATGGCAAAATTAAGAATTGTGCTTTTTATAGGAAGTCTCTTGAAGAGAAACAGAGTTTTCCGATCGAAAAATATTGTTTTCAAAAATTCTATACCATTCCCCCGGAACACTTGTTATTTTCCCATGCAAACTGCATGAACAACTTTGAGCGTCCTGTAAATATTTTTCGATTTCAAAAAAAAAAAAGCAGTACTATTATTTTTTAGATTTAGAACAACCCTAAGGGTAGCATTAAAATTCCGACTTTACCGTTGATTTTATAGAATTGTGTGTGTGT